CGAGGCGGGAGGGTGCGCCCCGACGTGGCAGCGCGGTTGGGGGGGCGGCCGCGCTCACCCCCTCCGTCCGCAGGGAAGGCGGCTGCCGAGCGGCGCGGGAAGAAGCGGGCGTCGGCGGAGGCGCTGGACGACGTGGGGTAACTGTCCGAGGCTCGCGCGCTGTGACGGGTGCTGCGTGTGAAGTGCTGGGCGCGTCATGTTTCTTCCGACGGGAGGGCTTGTGGTTTTGGTTTTTTGTCTTTTTGAGACGGTCTCGCTGTGCAGTGCAGGCCGGCCTTGAGCTCACTGTGTGGCCCAGGCTGGTCCGAGCTCGCAGCGATCCTCCTGCCTCAGCCTCCCGAGTGCCGGGGTGACAGGCGCGCGCCACCACGCCCGGCCCAAACGTGAGGGTGGTGCGTCCTTAACTCGAAGGGGTTTTTGTTTGACTTGGTTCTGCCACGCTGGGGGTGGGACCCGGGGCCTCGGGCTCCACCCCCAGGCTGAAAAGCTTTTTAAATGTAATTTATTCACAGCGGCGAAGTACAGAACATGCTGGAAAAATTTGGAGGTATGTTTCTGGAGATACTTGTGTAAATAAAGTTGTGTTAAACTATTGCAGTTTGAATAGTAGGGTCTGTGCGTCGGACTACGAATGTTACCTAACACTTTAAGTACATAGTGGTGTAGCTTCGTAGGTTTCCTTATTCACCTTTGCGATGATATGAATGGGAATGGCTTGTAGACATGTGATTTTAGTGGAATTTTAGAAGGAAAATAGATGTATAAAATATTCATGTAATTGTACAGCCGTATTACTCTTACTGAGCCGTAACTGGTAAGTCCATAATAAAGGTATGTGGTCAGCAAAGTATTAACATTTTATAAAATACAGTACTTAGTGCTAAAAATACGCTATAAAAACTCCACGGAAGTATTTGAAAGTGTTCTCAAATTTATCTGCTTACATTAAAAATTTTTTTTTGGTCTGTGTCTCTTTTAGTAAAAAATACACTTAAAAGCATCTTTATATTTTTTATAAATTTTATCTTTGATACAACTATCCTTTTTGTGGGTTTTATATTATGAATTCTAACAATGACTGAACCAAGTGTGTTCTTTCAGTTGAAGAACATCTTACAAATTTAGAAAAGCAAAGCCTTTATTGAAGTGTTTTCCCCCTGAAGAAAATTAAAGTCTATCTTTGATGCTTTATTTATTGGCTCCTTTAAAAATCATTCATAAATTTAAAATTTATCTTTAGTTAGGAAAATCAGAATTGGGATAAGGCTAGGTATTTCTTATCCAAAATCTTTAGGACAAGGAAAGTTTTAGGTTTTGGAGGTTTTTGGATTTCAGAATATTTGCAGAGACTTTACTGGTTGAGCATCCCTAGTCTGAAAATCCAAAATCCTATGTGCTCCCAGATATGAAATATTTGGAGCAGGATAATGTTGTATGTTTTTGTAATATTATTGGATGAACTTTTTCCATGTTTGTATTTGTTTGAATATATGGGATCAAGATAATTTTCAACATTAAATTTTAATAAATACCTGTTTTCAACATAGCTGACATTAACAAGGCTCTCCTTGCCAAGAAAAAAAGACTAGAAACATATACCAAGGCTTCTTTCAAGTCCAGTAGCCAGAAAATTGAACATGTTTGGAAAACACAACAAGAACAAAGGTAAAGTGACTGTCTTCCATTTATTGGCATCTCTAGTGAGAATGTGTTTGGTCTCGCTGGCAATAGGGTTGCATGCCTGTTATCCCAGCACTTAAGAGGCTGAGGCAGGAGGATCTTAAGTCATTGGGTTTTTTTTTTTTATGATCTTGACTTTGAAGCCAGCTTGGGGTACCTAGACCTGTCCAAAAAAAAGAAGGGAAAGAGGGAAGGAGCAAGTGGAAAAAGATACTTGGCTTGACTTTTCTGTAAGCAAGTGGTGAAGTTGCTTTTTGAAGTAACAAGTGAGGTTTTTTTTTCAATTCAAAAGGTAATTTGTATTCATTGTGAAAATATACCAGTAAAAGGTAAATGTCGTAGAAACTGTTTGTTATCTGATAGTTAACTACGTTTGACAGTGTAGAAAAAGGTTGATTTTATATTATAAATTTTATAAAATTCATGTTGTATTTTATATGTTTATGTTGTAAAATCTGTTTACTTTAGTTGATTTTATTGTTTTGTACAAAGTCATTGCCAAGAGCTGGGGATATAGCTCAGTGGCACAGCACCTTCTTGACAAGCATGAGGTCCTGAGTTCAAGTCCTGGTACCAAAAAAGTCATTGCCAAAATGGGGAAAAATTAAGTGAAATATTTCTGTTTGGAAATCATTTGATCCATTTATCCACACCAGAACCTGTATGAAGTAGGATACATAAAAGTATACTCCTTGGAAATAAAACCAATTTTCTGGGAAATTTACACAGATAATAAAACTTACTTAGTTGTCAGGAGCTAAAGCATATAAGACCTTTCTGTTAGGTTTTAGAAAAAATGCTTCTGGAACTGATGTAACTCAAACTTCTCAGTTTCTCCTCAGGATATTTCACCTGCTGTTCTTTTCTTTCCTACAGTATGCAAATAGGTCAGATCAGTTTTAAATGTTTCCTGCTGTATGAAGTGTCACAGTGTTGTTCATTCCCATGCTTTACAGGCAGAAACTTAACCAAGAGTATTCTGAGCAGTTCCTGAGTGTGTTTCAGCAGTGGGACACAGATCTGAAGAAGGCGGAGGAACAAGAAGAGAAACTGGTGGTTGGTATCGCTGTGGCTCCCTCACGAGTCTGTCCCGGCCGGGCCTGGGGCGGACCGGAAGGAGCCTTCGCACTCTGCTCCGGAGCATGGGCATGTGCCGCCTGTGTTGCCCAGGACTCGCACACATTCAGATGGTAGAAGTTCGCCAGAGAACAAAAAGATGATTAGTGGCTTACAGAAAAGAAATAGGGGGGAGTTTAGCTTGAGGTACAGCTGGGGGGTGGGCAGGGAAGGTTGCTGTTGTGGAGCCATTTGGGGTTGCTTAGTGGGTTCACCCAGTGCAGCAAGCAAGACAGTTCCTGCACTCCTAGACTCAGAGTGAATCAGCAGTGGCAGTGGAGCGACAGTCCTCGTGGCCATGGCAGGTAACCCTGCTTGAGGGCTCTCACTGATGCAGTTTACTGTCTGCCCACTCCTGAACCAGTCACTGAAGTCAGAACATGGTTTATGCTTCGTTTTTTTGTGAGAGGTAAGGGGACTGGAATCCATGGCCACGTGTGCTTGGCAGGTGCTCTGTCACTGAGCTATAGATCCTGCTAAGAACACGCTTTACTGTTGCCCGTTCATGGTCCCTGTCCCCACCCCCAGGGCAGGTGGTAGTCATCACCACTCGGCTGTACAGCTGCACGAACTGCTCCTCCAGTGGGCCTTCCACCATTGCTAATGGTCAGACACTGCTTAGCTAAGAGCTGAGGTACTAGTCTGACCAAGTACCTGGGCTTGCTGGATTAGCTTATGAAACATCCAAAGAGAGGCTCAGCAGTACTAGTGTATGAGTCTACAGTTCAGGAAAGAGATGTGAGCTGAGGACGCGAAGTTGGGAATTCGCAAGTTGGACAGTTTTTCAGCCATGCAGGTGGGATGAGATCACCAAGAGAGGAGCTATAGCTGGAAGGGGGAAATCTAAGGACAGATCCCTGGGGGACATCAGCATTTACAGCTCTGGGAAGTGAGGGGAGCCAGGAAGGGCCCCTGAGGGTGTGATCACAGGTGGACAGCAAAGCCCTGTACGCCAGGCAAAGCCATTTAAGGAAAAGACGAGGCATGGTGGCACACACCTGTAATCCCAGTACTTGGGAGGCTGAGGCAGGAGGATCCCTGTGAGTTCAAGGCCAGCCTGGGCTACATAGTTAGTTTAAACTAGTCTGAACTATGTAGCAAGTCCCTGTCTGAAAAACCGAATGAAAGGTTAACTGTCACATGCTGCCTGTAGGCCGAGTAAGGTGGATCTGGTAGTGTAGAAGTCACTGGTGTCCTAGATCAGAATACTGGTGGAAAAGTGAGATCTGTGTGAAAGTCTGATTAGAATGAATACTGGACAGAATGGGAAAGAAAAATATGTGGTAGCCTATGGAGAAAAGGAATACAGGGTCTTGTTTTAAGAGCAATAGTAGCACGTTTGTGTGCTGACAAGAATACCAGAGGGAAAAATTTAAAGTACTAGAGGAGGATAGTTGCTGAATTCATTTTTTGTTTTTTTTTTTTTTCTTTTTGAGATAGGGTCTCACTATGAAGTTCAGGCTGGCCTTGAACTCAGTTTGTAGCCCATACTGGCCTCAAATTTGAAATGATCCTCCTGCCTCAGCCTCCCAAGTACTGGGATTATAGATGTGCACCACCACACCCAGCTCTCAATTCTTGAGAATAGATGGGACATGTGAAGAAACTGGCCTTACTAAGGACCAAGGATAGTTCACTTTTGGAAATGGGAGAGAAAACATTGTACCAGTGCACACCGATTTGTGTGGGTGCAGATAAAGTGGTGGGAGACTGCCTCTGTGTTTAGTGATGTAAGGTCATCAGATGGTGAAGGCGTTGCCCAGGGAGAGTAGCTAGAGAGGTGAACTGTCCTGGCTAGAGGCCTGGCTAACCAAGTGTACACAGCTGAGAAGAGGTAGAAGGCGTAATCATAATGATCAGCCATCAGCACTAACCCTGGGAAAGAGGAAGGCTGGGTGTGGTGGTGCACACTTGTAATCTCTGCACTAAGGAGGCTAAGGCAGGAGGATTGCTTGAGTTTGAGGCCAGCCTGGGCTATGTAGTGAGACCCTGTCTCAAAAAAAAAAAAAGAAAAGAAAGAACAACAGGGGTAGGGGTACAGTGAGAAATAAGTAGAATGAGCAGATTTTAGTACCTGATAGATTTCTGAGCTGTGATACTAAAAGGAAGCCAGAGCAGCCCAGAGGTAGTGGTTGAACCCTGAGACAGAAACAGGATGTGTATTGGAGCCTGGACCCTGGAAGCACACTGAGATCAGACTGTGGTTTGAGCTATGAAACTATAGATTATTTACCCTTGTGCTTCAGTCTTTTCAGCTACAAGAGGGACAGAGTACCTACCTCATACAGTTGTTCGGAAGGTAAAGTGAGTGTGTATCCATTTATTTAAGAGGGTTCAGAAAAGCAGATGACACAATGAATATGTTTGCCATGATCAGTGCTTCTAGACTGAGGTTATGCTATTGGTAATGGTAAGATGTAGGGTATAAACATGTAAGTGAATAGCTCAGGTAGGGTGGAGACCAAAATCATTGGTGGAAAATAGGTTAAGGACTTGAGAGACCAACATTATTGGAAGATTACCTGTGTGGATATTGAAATTCCCAAGAAAAGACATGTTTTAAACGTTAAGATTTCCTGCTCAGTGACATGGAAGGTTATATTGCATATTAGTGGTAAACAAATTAAGATTGGTCATAGTAGTTGTTAAACCAAAATGTTAAAAAAATGGATTTAAAAACTATTCCTTGGGGCTGGGGATTTAGCTCAGCGGCAAAAGCGCCTGCCTGGCAAGCGCAAGGTCGTGAGTTCGGTTCCCGGTACCGGA